CATTTAATTCTAGATTTTTGCTTTTAAATAAGATCTTGAATTTGAATTTGAATTTTTTGAATGAAAAAATATATGCATTTAGAAAGTTTAATCTTTATGGAATTCAACATAATTTGATTTCAAATTAGTTAGATTTAATATAATTTCTAAATAGTAAAAGGTTAGTATCAAAAAAATATATTAATTATAATAATATAATATAAAATTAAATTTTTGTACTATTCTCTATTTTACATTCTCTTAGAATAGCTTGGATGAATATAATAGAAAAAAATGTAATTTTTTTAGGAGAAAATAAAGATTGTGAATCAAAAAGATCCAGACTCTATACTCATGGGAGAAACCAAGAAATTTATTTACCCGCAACATAGACAAAAGGAAGAAGAAAAAAAAAAAAAACACTCCCGGACCAAAATAACCCTGGATTTCTGTATTTATTCGATTCACGAATGAGAACGGATTCACCCTGCGCTTCTCTTTTTCTGCCTCTCCAGAGTTCTGTTTCTCCGATTATGAATCCACAGTCTCCATTTAGATCATCCCCTTTGTAGATGTACTAGGGAGGTTTAAGGTTCTCTGTTCATTCCATTGTGTGATACTAGAGTTAGGATTTATTTTTTTCTTTTCGATTTTAATTTTTTGAGCTACAGTATATTAATCTGTTCTTGTATACTATTTCAATTATTGTAACTTGTAACAGTTTGAACCGGATATTTATTAGATTTTGTAATCAGAGAGAATCATAAAGATTTAGGGATTTTTGGGGGGGGGTTTTTTTTTTTTTTTTGGATTTTTTTGCATGTTCGTCGAGATGGAGAATCCTCGTAGACCATTTGATAGATCCAGGGAACTGGGTCTAAAACGGCCGCGATTAAGCGAGGACGCTGGTCCGAACCCTAACGGCCGACCGTTTTCACAGAGGATGGTTGGTTCTGCAGCAACGACGAGGTTCAGGGGAGTTGATTTTGAAAGCAATGATTCCGGCGGCGGTGGGGCGTATGAGCCGCGGCCAACTCCTCAGCAGCAGCATCATGAGCTGATTAGCCAGTACAGAACTGCTATTGCAGAGCTAACGTTCAATTCGAAGCCAATAATTACTAACTTGACGATAATTGCAGGGGAGAATCTATTTGCTGCCAAAGCCATTGCTGCTATCGTCTGCGCCAATATTCTTGAGGTGAACCTAGTATAGTTGTTTGTTAAACTTCTGTTGTTTAAATTAAATTGTAAAAAAAAAAATTATATATATATGCTTTTAGAGTAGTGATCTTTGATCTGGTAAAATTCTGTGTTCTAGTGAAATTGTAAGTGTAAATTGGGATTAATGAAATCTCTCTGGTTTTGGAGTAATTAGTACTCGTATTGGATGTGGGATTTTAAAAATGTTCATGAAGTTTTGGTGCCGTGTCCCATCTATGCGCCTTATTCATAGTGAGAGTGATATAGCGGATCATAGTGGTTGAATGAACTGTGTGAAATATGAGAATTTTGTGAGGGACTTTGTGCTATTTGAATACAAGGCTTTTGTTTTGTAGGGTTGCCCAGAACTGTACATGACCAGCTTTCAGCTTATTTTCTTGGATGTATTGTCCAATTTTTATATATCCATTACATCCTAACAATTCAAAATGTTATGTATGCTCAGCTAAATGATATTCCCATAGTGTGTATTGGCAGCCTGTTTCCACTGAGATTATGGGCTTTAAAGTTTTACCATTTTTGTAACATGAATTATGATATATCAATTCTATAATTGCGGGTCTGGTTAGACAGACTATTGTTCTGTGTTCTGTTATTTTATTCTCCTCCCTCCCTCCTCCCCCCCCCCAAAAAAAAGGAATAAAAAACAGGGGAGGAAAAACATAGATCTGGACTGAAATGGGATAAGCTTTTGCCACCATGTATTTTTACATGCATCAATTTGGATCTTTATATGTAAAAGTGGAAGCACTACCACCATACAGGGAGCCTGGTTTGCCTGAATTCATTGGTTGTGTGCCTTGCTCTCCCTGCCTCTCCTTTATTCTGCTAGAGTCTTAAAAGCAAGATCTCTAGCCTACTTGTAATAATACTTCAAATGATAATCTAAGAGAAGGTGGAAGAGGGAAGTGCCTGTGGAATATTTAGCACATTAAAGGAGCTGGAAGAAATTGGACTTGTATCCATATGAAGAAACTTGAAGCAGAAAGTAGGAGAAAAAAAAAGTAATCATGAGCATATAGATGATGAAGTCAGCTCTTAGGAAAAGAAGTTGAAGACTACAGTTGATGAAGTTGAAGATATATTTTTCTATTGATGATGAGTTGTCATTTATGCTATTTCTTGTTCTTGTTAATTATGCAAAGGGATCTCATCTTATGTTTGATTGGAATTGTCTGTTCTGTATTCATCAATCCTCTATTAATGCTACAATTCTTCACGTCATTTTGCATCATTACTTCACCTGGTTAGCTATCATCTTTTATATGAATACAAAAAAGTGTTTGGTTTTATTTTCCCCCTTTTGGCCAGTTAGGGTATCTTTGACTGTTGCATGGGACATCTGATTATGAAAATTGATTAAGAAAATGATTTGCAGGTTCCAAGTGACCAAAAGCTACCATCACTTTATCTTTTAGACAGTATTGTGAAGAATATTGGGAAGGACTACATAAAATATTTTGCTGCAAGACTACCTGAGGTTAGTTTCTTGTTCTTTCTATGGCTTCTCATTCAATTTGGCTTCTAATGAATCAGTGCAGAATTTGTTCTGTCAAAGAATTTAAGAAGACTGCCTTATCTATGAAATATTTTACATGTATGATACGTATTCCATATACAGAAAAGTGTTTTCACCAACCATTAAAATGTTATGCATACGTATGTGTCTATTACACAGTTGGTTTTCAAGTTGCATTACTTTGCATTGACACGTCTTTCCTCCATTTTAAGGTATTCTGCAAGGCATATATACAAGTTGATCCCTCTGTGCATCAAAGCATGCGACACCTTTTTGGAACATGGAAAGGAGTTTTCCCACTGCAGACACTCCAAATTATTGGGAAAGAACTTGGTTTTTCTCCTTTGATAAATGGTTCATCATCTGGATCTACAACATCTAGGCCTGATTCACAGTCACAGCGGCCACCACATAGCATTCATGTAAATCCCAAGTATCTTGAGAGGCAGTGTCTTCAGCAGTCAAGCAGGGTAAATTCTTGGATTTTTAACCCTTTTAGCATGTGGAATCATGTTAGTGAATTAGTCATCTAGAAGGTCTGAGGTTTTCACCTCAAATTGAACTGTCAAAGGATCTGGAAGTCAGCATCATAAATGTGTCTTCACATCTTTTCTTTTTGCAGTTTTCCTCATGAATATTGCGATTATTTGTTCAAAACTTCTTCATCTTCATCATTGATTCATTGTAATCCCAGTCCATAATTTTCTATGTTATCCTTTTCTTCTTTATTCTTGACCTTTTTATGAGTTCCTCTTTATATGTTTTTGAAGATCCTACCATTTTTCAATTTGCATTAGTATCTATGGAGAACAAAAATCATTGCCTTATAGATGAACCATAAAATGAGTAAGCTTTGATTATTTTACAGAGTACGCTGAATACTGTGAGTAAAGTGTGAAAATGTTATTATGTCAGAATCTCTGTTCTTCATGTAAAGATTTATTGTTGTATGGATAAAATTTGTGCAATATGTCCCCCATATTTTTCAAGATCATCAAGTCCCTAGTCACTTCTTCTTCCTTTCTTTCTTTCGTCTCTTTTTTTCTTCTTTTTTTTCACTAAAAGTTTTGATTACTGATGAATTCAAACTTGATTTGAAGGCAAAAGGAATGCTTAATGACATTACTGAGGCTATGACCGATGTAAAGGAGAATACTGAGAGGTCAGATCGAGCAGCCATTATTTCTACTGGAAGGCCATGGGTGGATCCTTCTGTCAAAATGAATGTATGTAGAGTAAACTTTACTTTTGAGGAGCTATGTTTTCAATTTTCATGTTTTTCTTACTGAAACAGTAGCATGGCAAGTTTCAGAGTGTTCAGCATTCTAATAGAGATGCCCTAAGTGGACCTATTCATGAGAAAAGCATTACTGCTGCATGTGGAGACTATGAGTATGGTTCAGATTTTTCACAGAATTCTGGCTTGGGTATTGTAAGAAACAGTGGAAGGATTACTGATAAAGCACAGGATAGACCTTGGTATGGCACTGGAAGCAGTGTTCAAGAGACTATTTCCGGCCAAAGGAATGGTTTCAATGTCAAGCCAGGATTGCGAAATTACTCGGTGTCCAAAAATGCTGATCCTCGTCTTCGTGCAGCTCATAACATTGCAAATAGAAGCAATAATGGATTGTCTACCAGCTGGAAAAACTCTGAGGAGGAAGAGTTCATGTGGGATATGCACTCAAGATTGTCAGATCAAGATGTAGCAGCTATCTCTAGTAACTCAAGGAAAGAAAATTGGATTTCCGATATTGAAGAAAAATCGGTAAGCTTGTGAGAATAGAATGTCAATGTTTAACTCTTTATCTTTTATGGAAGGCCGAAAAAGGAAACTGCTATCTTTTACAGAATCTGTTGATTTTATGACTGCTATTCTTCTTCTGGAAGACATACTTTCCGCTTGACAAACTACAATTGGATGCAAAATATAAATTGTGAAAACACTTCTTTAATACCTTATATTGCTGCTGGTTGTTTGTGAAAGGTATAAGTCTTTAAATTCAATCTACTTACGAGAAAGACAAAATACCTGTAGGTTCATATGTTGAATGAAGGCTGGGTGTCTATTCAAATCTGTTCTGTACTGATTTTACTGGTGCAGTTGGTTTTGGTGATTGAATCTTGATCATATTTCTCAATGTCTCGTTAATGTGAAAATGAGGGGAAGTTAACACAAGTCTGTCTTGCTGCCTGGAAGAATATAGAGCTCTAGTTTTGTTTATTATTTTAGTTATTCTGTTCTGGGTTTCTACATACTAGAACTAGAATTATCAGCTCTGGACTACCCATTGGAGTTTTGAGCAGTTTCCTCAGTTGCTAATGCCTTTTCAATTATTGCAGGAGTTTGGGAATCACCTCAATAAAACAAAAGGTATTCATGATGTTGAGTCAAGGTTTGATAGAGAAGCTTCTGCTGAAACTGAGCAGAAAGACCAAACTACTTATGGATCTCAGATATCACCTGCATGGTCGTTGCAGGGGTCTAAGGATGGGGATGGATCAATTCGTCCTGCAGTATCTACTATTAATTCTGTTAATCCAGAGGGATATTCTGCTACTCTTGACAGGTTGACAAGAAGTACGAGTTCTTCTCTAGCCAGGATGGGAGCTCAGCAACAATTTGGTTTATCCCAAGTTGGTAACTCTGGCTCTTGTATTTTAGCAAGTTCGTCATCAGGGTCCACTGGAATGTTAAGCCACCAGCATTTTCAATCAGTGGGAACTTCGTCACCGCCTGAACTGTCTCCCATGCACCAACGTTCTTCTTCACCATCTTTTCCAGCTCGTCATCCCTATCAACAAACACAGAATTCAGCTGAGGAAGACCATCCACAAGCTCACTCCTCAACTCAGCCTGACTATAAACCATCTCAGTTTCCGGGGCTGTTGAATACCAGGTCTCACAATCGCTCTGCTATTCAGGCCTCATCTGCTTCATTGCCTAGTTTTGGAACATCCTCAAAACCAGGAAATGAACCAGATCATTCAGATCCTCATGCTGTTGAAATTTCAGGGTTGTCTAGTAGAAGTGGTTTGTTGGCTGCTGTCATGAATAGTGGAATCCTCTCTAAAAATTCAATCACCAGCAGCTTACCTAATCAGAGTGCTCTTGATGGGGGTCAAATGTCATCAAAATCAGGTGTCCAGCCTCCTTTACCAAGGGTGGATCCTAAAACCTTTTCAGATTCTGAACAGCCACCTCTGCCACCTGGTCCACCACCTTCATCTCTTGTTGCTAGTGAATCAGCACAACCTGCAGTTGAAAGTAAGGCCCCAAATCCACTTTCCAACCTTTTGAGCTCATTAGTTGCCAAAGGTTTGATATCTGCCTCAAAGACACAGTCTCAATCTGTCTCGCCACCACAGATGCCTACTCAATTGCCGGACAAGAGCGCAAGCATTTCTACTATTAGCTCTATTCCAGTTTCTTCAGTTCCAGTTTCATCAGATACTTCCTGTTCCTCCACCAAGGATGATGTAGAATTGACAGAATCTACTGGCAAGAATTCTCCTAGCTTGTCACAATTCACCGCAATGGAAATAGAAAACCTCATAGGACTAGATTTTAGGCCAGATGTCATACGAGAATTTCATTCATCTGTGATCAATGCGTTGTTGGGTGACCTTACACATCAGTGCAGCCTATGTGGTCTTCAACTTAAACTTAAAGAACAGTTGTGTAGACACTCAGAGTGGCATGCTATGAGAAATCTGGGTGCAGATGAAGTGATTGGGCCATCAAGACGATGGTATGCAAGCTCAGGTGACTGGATTGCTGGAAAGCCTGGACAATTAAGATTTGGATCTGCTGGTTGTGGACACCAGTCTCAAGAGACAACTGAGAAGGGTGAGCCAATGATCCCTGCAGATGAAAATCAGGCTGCATGTATTTTATGTGGTGAGTTATTTGAAGATTACTTTAGTCAAGAAAGGGGTGAATGGATGTTCAATGGAGCAGTTTACATGACAATCCCAACCAAGGATGGTGAGGTAGATGAGAGTGTTGACAAGGGTCCCATCGTTCATTCAAGATGTATATCAGAGAGTTCATTACATGATCTGGGACTGGCTACTGATGTTAAAACGGTATGGTCTTGATCTTTGAAAGGCACCTTATAATCTCACTACTTTTTGAAAGGATTAGACCTCCTATTCCTATTTGAGGGTCTGTCTTGATAAGTGAATTTTTTTGCTGAATAACTCTTTATTTTGATTGATTTTGTTATTGAATCATGCTTTTCTCTGCACAATAAAGCTTTGTTCTATTGAGTGGACTGATTGGTAGCATTTCATCTAATTCTCTCCTTTTTTTTGGTGGGTAGGAAGAGGATGCAATGATGCTTTAAGCTGGGAGCGAGCCCATCAGAAGCCTGGTGCAAATATAGAAGCCGCATAATTTTGTCGTGCCTTGAAATGTTGCTGAGAGTTGTTCGCTAGATATTGTCGTTTTCTCTCTCTGTCTCTCTATCTCTCTATTTTCTGAAATCATAGCCTGATAAAATACCTATAAATGCCACATAGTTGCCTAAATTATCGTCGCTGATGCAGGCTTATATATTCCTACATATATTGTTGTTGATTTCACCAAAGCAGCTTTGCACTAGAAAACACTAGTGAAAGCACCCTGAACATGTGCTATCAACTTCACAACTAGTGAATGGCAACATTGGCAAGCCTGTGGATGACTGAATTTTAAATCAAGACTTTTCCGGTTTGTTTTTCATTCCCTCTCGTAGATTTTGCGACTTCCATTTCTCTGATTGCCTTTTTCGGTCTTTCATAGTTAAGCATTGCTTTCTAGAGTCGTGGGGTTTGGGCAAACAGCATGAGGACATAATATGACAAGATTTGCCATGTAGATTCTTGTCTGTTTTCGTTGACTATGTTTCGCCAATCGCAACATATATACTAATTTAATCCATTTTGATAATTTTAGTATTGTTAATTGGGTTCGTGTTGTGATTTGCTTCTACAAATAGTATTTTAGTTGAAAGTTGCAGCATATATATGCGCTGTTATCTACATACACTTGTGTTGTCCATGGAAAGTAGCACTGATATCATTGTTACGGTAACCTGAAAATTTTTTTCAAATTTCACCCGGAAACCCAACTAACAATACTAAAATTATTTATTATAATATTAGGAAAGGTAGGAGAAGTTTATTCTTTTGATAAACGGAAAAAGAATTTATTGAGAATTGTGTTAATGAAAATAAATATTAAAAATGTTAATTTTATCATTTATTTATTATAATATTGAGATGTTAAAAGGTACAACACTTGGTGGCCCAATGGTCACCTTCCGTTAGGACGTGCTTAGGATTAAAGAGTTTGGGATCAAATCCCAAGTCCCTTTCCTCCCTTTCCCAAAAATACAAAAAAGAATTTCACACTGTT